TGTTTACCCTAGTTATATTGTAGGTCCACCCCTGGTGATACATAATCTTATAATTTCCCCTCAAGTCTTGAAATACATATAAGTATATACACTTGAAAAATATCCGACCTGTAAGTCATTTGATTACTTGAGAAAATCATGGAAAAACTTAGTTCTTGACTTATTGTTCCCAAACCCATCCAAATATCTATGAGTGTATAAGGACTCCTCGTAGTCCAATCAAGTACTTTAAGGACACCGTCCGGTCCTGGATTACTAACCCATATTCTATGAGTTTTGAGTACCAATCTTGTCCATGGATGCTCCACCAATTATATTTTGAGTTTTGAGGACAATTTCCATTCTTGGGTACTCCACCAATTATATTCCAAGTTTTGAGGACAATCATGTTCTTGAGTACTCCGCCAATTATATTCTGAGTTTTGAGGACAATCTCGTCCTTGGGTACTCCACCATATCCTATGATCTACCACATATCATACTTAGATAAAGTCTATATCATAATCAAATATATTTCGAATGACACTTTTCCCAACTTATGGCCAAGTGGGTCTCCTCACACCCAATCAAAACTCTCTCCAGATTATGGAGACATTCATCAAATGACTCTCCAAAAATAGAGAAGTCATCCATAAAAATCTCCATAAAATCACCAATAAATTTATCAAAGACAACTATCATATAATGCATAAATGTGGCAGGGGCATTGCATAGACCAAAAGACATCCTACGAAATGTAATTGTCCCAAATGGGCAAGTGAAAGTAGTCTTTTCCTGGTCAACGGGATCAACGTGTATTTGAAAATACCCGTTCATCCCATCGAGGAAACAATAATATACATGCCCTACCAACCTCTCAATCAACTGATCAATAAACGGGTAAGGGAATGTGATTCTTTTGGGTGGCCTCATTCAATTTACGATAATAAATGACCATCTGCCACTCGGTCACGGTCCTACTAGGTACGTAGGAGTTCTCCTTTCTTAGGGACCACCTGAATAGGGCTAATCTATTTGCTATTTGAAATTGGGTAGATTATACAAATTTTTTTTAGATATGAATATTAAAAAGACATTTTTTATTCAACTTTTTTATATACAATATTGGTACATTGTAAAGATCTTAAAAACTATTAAATCTGATATATTGTTTTATAAAATTTGGACAATAAATAAAAAATTACATTAATTTAAAGAAAACGATGGGTCAAGAAGTCACATGGTCACAAGTGAGGAAAGAAGGTGATGTCCACTCTCCTTAGAGGGGTGAACAAAATTGTATTCTATGTAGGTGAGGCGTAATGTTCACCCTCCTTTGAGGGGGTGAGCAAAACTAACCTTATCTTATTTGGGCTCTTTCATAGATTACTCACAACTAATAACATTATTTTTATCAAAAAGAAATAATGCATCCGTTCATGCTTAAGTTCTTATTAAAAATGATACGTTTTGTAGATAATAATTAAGTAATGTAATTTGTATATATTTTGAAAAGTATTTTGAGTGAGTAAATGGTATAATGATGTAATTGATGTTAACTGTGATGTTATACGTGTATTATTTTAATATTAGATAGTTAAATATGATGGTATCATTTAAGACTAGTGTTCTAAAAGGCTCGAAAAGACTCCACCTAGGCATACCGATGCGTGTGTGAAAAGCCTCACATACATATTATGCGCCATCAAAGGCGGTCAATTGCTTTGTTGACCGCGTAGGTGCGCATATACAGGAAAAGGCGGACACATTTTGTTTTGATGGCTACACCTCGACTTATTTTTCTTCTACCAGGTATATCGTGGGTTATCTCGCCTCCACACAATAGTTTTTACCTTTCATTTCACCCTCTCAAATTTAACCCTATTTTCATCGATCTCATTCAACTAGCTGATTCACGGCTCCAGTACCATCTTGAAGCAAGAATTAAATTCCTTTATCTGCCTAGCCGCTGAAGTGAGGTGCAAGAGTGGGGACATCTGGATTTCACCATGGAGGTCTATTTTTTACACTTTTCACTTAATTGATTGACATTGATTTTAATCTAGTTCTTATGAAAATATGGACTGGGAGTTTGACTCCCTCCTCCATGTTTTACTTTTTAATCAAAGTAGGTTTATATTTCTTATTTTACTTGGAAACGTTGGAATTCAATTCTAGATTTGTAGGGAAGGCTACACCAAAAACGTTGTTGCCCCTCCCACCAAAGGGCATTTCTTTAGATGAAAAAAACATTGAAAACTATCTTGTGTGAATTGTATATAGAGAAAGTTTGTATACAATGACTGACTTATATAGTTATACTAGAATGAGGTTAGACACACATCTACACATCATAAATTGCTACTAGCCCACGAGGTAGTGCTATTCCTAGAAAAGTTCAGCAAGTTAAACACACATATCAAAATTGATGTACAAGCCACACTGCCTCCTCAAAGAACATTGAACCCCAATTGGCAGCTGGCATTAGAGATAGGTTTCTAAATGTCCCACAACTTTTTTAATATAAAATATTCACAATCAAATGCCTAAAATGAAGAATCACCACACCTACTTTTGCCTATAACACCTCAGTTTAATCTAACCAATGCACATTTTTTTTTAATTTTTTTGTTCTTAGCAGTTCACAAAATTGAAATGGAACACAACACTCCTGCGGTGGATCAGAATGAGTTAATATGAGATTCAGGGAATGTTGGGTGGAAGACTGGAGTTCTTGTTGATCCGAAGAATCTCAATATTGTAAGGTGTACGCTATGTGAAAAAGTTACAAAGGCTGGTATAAATAGGCACAAATTTCACATAGCAGGGATCAAGGGAGAGTTGTTACGTTAAACCGTGTCCTAATGCAAATGATGAGCAAAAAAAGTTGTGCCATGAAGCACTTGAAGAAAATAAGTCTCAGAAGTTGGAGAAGATTATGAGGCATGCCAGATTGAGACATGATGTTATTATGACTGCACAAATTAGTGAGAAAGAATAAACACCCGCACTTAAGAAGAGAGTAAAAAGGGCCCTTTTCAACTTTAGGTCCTATGAATAAATTTTCTAGGCCAATCAACATAACTGATGAATCTATGAGCATAAGCAAGAAAATGAAACAACAGAATATCCATGATGCAATCGATAAGAAAAGGCTTTTAGAAGTTCATCAATATTCGTCCAGATGGGTGTATGAAGTTGAAATTCCCTTTAATATTATTAACAGTGACACTTTCAAAATGTTTGTGGAAGCTCTTGGTCGATATGGCCCGGGATGTACTCCTCCTTCTCAATACCAATTGAGAGAAACACTTTTGAAAACTGAGGTGCAAAGGACAAAAGTAAATGCTCAAGAAACAAGAAGAAGAATGGAAAGGTAATGGATGTTCTGTTATGACAGATGCATGGGCTGATGGGAAAAAGAAGCATTATGAACTTATGCGTGAACTGGAAACTAGGAACCACGTTTCTTTCTTCAAAAGATACCAAAGACATTCTCACACTGGTCAATATATATTCATATATGTTGATAGGTGCATCGGAGAGATTGGAGAAGAAAATGTGGTTCAGGTTGTAACAGATAATGCTTCAAACAATATGGCCGCTGCAAGTTTTCTGTCACTAAAAAGGCCTAGGATCTTTTGGACTTCGTGTGCTACTCACACCCTTAACCTCATGCTTGAAGCAAATTCCAAACTTCCTACTTTCAAGGGTGTGATCCAAAGAGTGAAGTCATTCACAATGTTCATTAATGCATATCATAAAATACTAGCGTTGATGAGGAAGTTCACTCAAAGGGAAATAGTATGTCTGGGGGTCACTAGATTTGCATCCTCTTTCTTAACTTTACAAAGTTTGCTTGAAAAAAACAAGAGTTGAAAAGTATGGGGACTAGTCTTGAATGGGATAATACAAAGTTGTCCAAGACTATTAAAGGAAAAGAACCATACGAAACCATTATCAATGAGATTTGTATATGGAGAGTTTCTTAGGGCTAAGGAGGATGTCAAAGATATTTTGAAGAAGGAATGTGATTATCTTCCTATTTTATATATCATGGATTCAAGAAGTGAAGATAGGCTCGATAGTCCGCTTCATACATCGGGTTATCTTTTAAAGCCCTTTTATTTCTTCAAGAATTCAAGTGTCAAAGACAATAGTTTGATTACAAATAACTTCATCATGTGTGTTGAGAAGTTTTTCCCTAATGAAGATATGCAACATCATGTGATAAATGTTGAGTTGCAAAAGTACTCCCAAAAAGAAGGTGCATTAGGAAGGAACATAGCAGTTAATGGATGCAAGAATTCCAAGTTACAATCCAGGTACACAAGTACTTAATTATTTAGTGACTTAATATTTGATTATTTGGTAATAATCTTGTTTATATCAAATGCATGTTTTGAGGTAACCTAGTAGATTGTCAGTACTCGCTTTCCTACTCATTATCCATGGATTTTATTCTCATTTTGATTGCGATTGTTTTCTGTGATCACTATCCATCTATTTTACTTTTTTGTGTGTCTCAAATTCATTTATCTTTTTCTTACTCAATCACAATCATACATTTTAACTTTATTCTCACTTTCTTAAACTCCGATCCAAGTCAATGCGAAAACTATTTTATGGAAGGGAGGGAGTCTATCATAAAATGAAAATGAAAACTTTTAATGATTTAAAAAAGACTCATGATAGTGCTTGAAGAATTTATATTATTGTCCACCATTTTCAACATTGTTTGAATATAAATAAACAATTAGACTGTTTTAAATAGACATTTATTTTGTTGTAATATTTTTTGTATTCTCTGGTTAACCAATTTATGATTAATAACAGATTTCTTACACTATTTTGTAATCCAAGAAATTAATTAATCGAAATATCGTTGACAATTGGGTCCATTTATACCTTGAGAAGAATTTCAAGGAAATTGATATTCATCGGACGTTGGACCAGTGAAAAATAAAAAAAGAACCAAACAAAAATAGAAATATCAAAATACATAAACAACAAGGTCAAAATCTCAAGGTCTAACATTAAAGTTTCCAGAAATAAAACCCTAGGCGGTAATTCGCCCACCGTAAAGCACATCTCACATCACCCCGCAGTTTCCACCGTTTATCTCTGCATCCAACGGTTGTAGAAGAGTCGCCCTCGTGCTTATCAACCCGCTCACTTCGCCAATCTTCACACCTTTTCTGGAAACGTATTCCTATCTGTAGAAACATGTCCCAACTTGCAGAAATCCCTGTCTCCTAAGCCGATATCTTGGTGAATTAGAACTTCGTTGTAGTGTATAGCTCTGCTTTTCAAACTGACATACTTGTAATTTAAAAGGAAAAACGAAATTTTTACGAGTTTCGTGCTCTTTGAAAGTGAAATAGTAGTGAAATTGAACTGAAGCTTCAAAAGCTGCAGGATTTAAGGGTTCTTGATACATTTGTGTATCAGTTTGGAATGATTACTGATACCTATTCGAAAATGTTGTCGGATGTCGGAATGCGATCAATGCCGGGAGGGATTGACGATGATTACAGAGAAGGCATTGACGTGTTATGGAGAGAGCAGTGGAAGCGGGTCACAGAGGAAAGTGCGCAAGAGCTACAGCGGGAGCGTCAGCTAGAGAGGGAGCGAGAGCTTAGTGCTTTGCGGAGTGGTTCAGCTCCCCCGACGGTCGAAGGATCCTTGAGCGGTTTTAGAGGTAATTTATACAGCGGAGGCGGCGATGTTTATGGAGTATCGGAGGAGGAACTGAGGTCGAGGTCGGATCCGGCCTACATTTCGTACTATTACAAGAATGTGAATCTGAACCCTCGGCTTCCGCCCCCATTGCTGTCCAGGGAGATTTCGCCTCTTGCACGGAAGGAATGGGGAGCAGATGGGCTTATAGGATTGCCAGAGTTTAGCTTAGGGCGTCAGCGGAAAACTATGACCGAGGCGATTCAGGTGAAAAACAAGGAAACCATTTTAAATGAATACATTCGAAGTGGTTTTGGTTTAAAAGTTTCTAACTTTAACTATGCAATACGTTTGGATTGCATATCTATGTAGTTAGTAAGTTATCAGATACGTTTGAAGCACTATTGCACTTGTGAAGTTTATTTCATTATGCTGGTTATATGTGACTATTGAGATATTGAATAGATTCACTTCCTCTTTGGGCAAATTTTGCATATGTGAGTGTCAGTTCTCTGCATCATTTCCTTCTGCAAAAATATATTTGCTTCTTTGCGCTTGAAAGTCTGATCGCCACTGCTGTAAATGACAGTTTATTCTGGTGTGTGGGTGGGGGGTTAGGAGATCAAAAGGAAAAGCATGGTTGAGGATATTCAGGTGAAATTAATGAAACTGTTACCTGATACTCATGAAGTGGTTTATGTTTGGAAGTTTCGGAGTTTAACTGTTACCTCATCACCACTTTTGGACCGAATTTCTATGTAGTTTGCCAGTCACTAGATATGTTATATGCATTTTGCATATATGAAATTTATTTCTTTACGCTAGAGGATACCTAATTACTTATTTGAGGTGTTTATTAAATTTACTTCCACATTGGGCAAATTTTCCAGTTTTTTCTTTAAGAAGCACTTTCCATGCCGAGTCAGTTATCTGCGTTTTTTGTGAAGATATACTCCGTGTTTGAATATGTGTCAATGTAGTTATATGTTGTTTCTGAAGTTGGTGAAATTCTGGTGATGAATTTCAGCACTGCATTATTTTGTTTGTGGAAATATAATTGGTTCTGTGTGTTAATGTATACAATTGGTGTTGAGTTTTACCTCTATGAAATGCCTTAAGTTGCTCCAATTGAGGCTGATATTGATATAGTTGCTGAAGCTTTTGGTGTTGAATTTCAGCAATGCATTATTTTGTTTTGTGAAAAAATATTTGATTTTCTGTGTTAATGTAGACAATTGCTGTTGAATTTCAGCTCTCTGAAATGGCTAAAGTTGCTCAAATTGTGGTGGATATTGATAAAGTTGATGAAATTGCTGAATTGTGAAAAAGATATGTTTAAATATATTTTATTCATAAAAAGAATAAATGTAAGAGGAAGTCTGTAATGATCATCTTCAGCAAAAAGTACCTCTATGCCTCTAACCCTACTCCTTTTCATTGTTTACTAGTTTATCGTCCAGTGCTTCAAATGTTTGTTAAAGTATCTTATGAACTGAAAAAGTGGCTACCAAGCAACCACTTTACTCTTACTATTGCTATTACTATCATCATCATGGTCATCACTGGCATAATTATGTTTCTTTCTTACTCTGAAGACTTTTTTCATATTGTAGGATGATATCGGTTTCCCAAATCCAACCAGTCATGCAGCTGATGTTGCTGAGGCTTCCGAGTCACAATTTATGCATTCATCTCAAAATGTTGTTTCATCCAGTACTTCTCGCACTTATGCTTCTGCATTGGGCGCTTCACAATCGAGAAGTGCCACTTCTGATCTTAGACGCATTCAAAACTTATCAAATGACATGCCAACGTGTAAAGCTGATGCCACAGATTTGGTTGCTGGTTTGTCTGGCTTAAGTCTGTCTGCAAATAACATGCCAGTAGGTGAAGGGAGCCATCCAAAGTATCAAATGGATCATCAAACTGACAATCAGAGGAACTTCATGAATTTGCTGAATGAACAGAGCCATGTCAGGGAACATCCACCGTTCTCGGGTTATGCCGTTGGTGGTTATGGCATGAATACTTCATCACCGTCCATGTTGAAAAACCAGCAAATGGGCCTTAACATGCCTAGTTCATATGATTCTTTTGCTTCTGGCACATCAATGAGTGCCTCTGGAGTTAATTTTCAAGAAATGGGGGGTGGTTTCAACTTGGGACCTAATTTTTTAGCTTCTAATCTCTCCAGAGGTGGGACTCAAAGCATGGGAAGCTCAGTGCAAAATCAACCGATGGATCCCTTATATATTCAGTCCTTGAGATGTAGGGAATTTGCTGCATTTAATGACCCAGCACTTAATCGCGCAGCTAATGGAAATGCATATATGGATTTGCTTGAACTTCAGAAAGCTTACATAAGTGCGTTCCTTGCCTCACAGAGGCCACAGTATGGCCCTGCTTGCTTTAGTCGAAATGGGGGTTTAGATCATCAGGGATACTATGGTGGTATATTCCCTGGTAGCCCTCTGGCAGGTCAAGCTCTTCCAAGTTCCCCTTATGGACCTAGCAGTCCTTTCAGGGGTGGGGAAAGGAACATGCGCTTTGCATCAGGAATGGGTAATATAGCGTGGCAATCTGATCCAATTTCTAATATCGAGGGAAGTTTTGTATCCTCATTGTTAGATGAGTTTAAAATGAATAAAACTAGATGTTTTGCAATATCAGAAATTGAAGGTCACATTATTGAGTTCAGGTATCCTCTTCTTTCTTTACAATTGTTTTTTAAAAATAATTATTCAACATGGACCCCTGAATTTATCTTATAAAATGTTCTCTGTGCAGTGGTGATCAGTACGGAAGTCGATTCATTCAGCAAAAACTTGAAACCGCTACTGTTGATGAGAAGCATATGGTGTTCGTAGAAATCATGCCTCAAGCCTTATCCTTAATGACTGATGTTTTCGGTAATTATGTGGTGCAAAAGGTATTTCGGCATTTAATTTTATCTTATAGTGCACAACCATCTTCTATTTTTGGCAGTGGCGCAGAGGTCTTTGTTTTTGGTGGTCTCTTGCTATTGGCTCTAACATGCTATTTTTGTTCTCAGTTTCTTGAACTTGGAAGTGCAGCTCAGATTAGAGCGTTGGCTGACAAACTAACTGGGCATGTTCTGGACCTTAGCCTTCAAATGTATGGCTGCCGAGTCATCCAGAAGGTACGCTACGTTTCTGTTGCTCCAGGTTAAGTACGTTTTACCACACACTATTATTGTTTTTTTTCTGAATAAAAGACTGACGCTTGAGCAGCTAAGACGTCCATCTTTGTTTCTTATCTGGGATTCCATTTATATCATGAATATGGTTGATCACTATATTTCTTGTTTTTCTGGACTTCTAATTATGCATATATTTATAACTGGCAATCAGTAGTTGAACCAATAATTTTATTTTTACCTTTTCTGAAATATATTTTTTATGGTATTCTGTATGGACTATATAACTATGAAAAAGTTCAGTTTAGAAAGTTGTTAATTATGGGAATCTATGTATCTATGTTCAATGAATTGTAGTTCCTTCTCAAGTTCGTGCGTCTTTTGAACCATCTTTGGACACATATAATTGAAATGTCTATTTGAAAGAATAGGCTATAGAGGTGGTTGAGCTGGACCAAAAGACAGCTATGGTCTCAGAGCTTAATGGTCACATCATGCGTTGCGTTCGTGATCAGAATGGGAATCATGTAATCCAGAAGTGCATTGAATGCATTCCCGAAGATGCTATTCAATTTATGATCACCAAGTTTTATGATCAAGTTGTGACTTTGTCGACCCACCCATATGGGTGTCGGGTGATACAGGTTAGCTAAGCTAAGAAACTGTTTAATGCATCAGCTTGTGAACGATTGATATTATATGATGTCAATTTAAATGAGATATATTATTTTAACTTATATAAAACACATGCTATTGTAACAGAGAGTCTTGGAACATTGCCATAGTTCTGAAACCCAAACAAAAGTGATGAATGAGATTTTACAATCTGTTATCATGTTGGCACAAGATCAGTATGGGAACTACGTTGTTCAGGTTTGTTCTCTTTCTTAGAAGCTTATGCACCATTCTCTATCATGCAGTTCCTCTCTTTGCAGGCTGAACTACAGTTCACTTTAAACAATATTTTCCTAGTCTTGCATACTTTTCACTTCAAATTCCACTTCAACTAAAGGGGGAATGCTCGTCAACTTCAACTGAGTTTTAAATCAATTGTATGATACTACTTGTAATATATTAGTATGAGCTATTGAGCCCTAACTTGAAAATATGTGTGCATGTCTTGTGCAAAACGTGTGCAGGTTTCGTGTGCAGGTTTCGTGTGCATGGTTTAATGAGCATTTGCTCTTGTATTTTTGTGATGAATTCATGAAATTAATAATTTTTCCTGGAAACGTTTTTTCAATAGAACTTCTTGTCTACGTTAAGGAATGGGTTAGAATATAAATATATCAAGGCTGCACTAGAGATTGATGTTTTTATGCTGTCACTTTTATGCATCCATACAAAAATGTTCTTATTGTTGTTATCCCTCTATCACATTATGTTCTTCTCACTTGTTTTTTACACAGTTACCTTTATCTAATTGAATGTACTTCATGACAGCATGTACTGGAACATGGAAGGCCAGATCAACGGTCTGTTATAATTGGTATGCTGATGGGCCATATAATTCAGATGAGCCAACAAAAGTTTGCCTCCAATGTTGTGGAGAAGTGCTTAACTTTTGGAACACCCGAAGAGCGTCAGCTCTTGGTGAAAGAGATTCTTGGCTCTGCTGATCAAAATGACCCTCTTCAGGTTTGTGTGATTCCTGACATTTTTTTCAAGGTTAAGGTAATTAAAATTATTTTCTATTGTTTGGTTTTCCATGCAAAATTTTAAGGAAAATGGAATATTTTTCTTTTGTATTCGAACACACACACATACAGAAAGAGAGATTTCTTTATCTCAATATAATATATACAAATGAATAAAATGTGTGAAGTAATATCTACCATAAATTCATTGAGATTTAGCCTATCTTTTATTTTATCACATTTTATTCCTCCAAAGTTTCCTCTATGATTTCCTACCTCTTTTTTTTTTCCAGTATCTTCCAGGGGTACAAAAAGACCTCAAGGAAATGATACTTCTTGTATTTTAGGATTACATTTTGCAACACCTAATTATTCCTACTCTTAATGACTTGTTGTCATGCGAAAGCAAGTTGCACCCTTCTTAAGTTCTACACAAACCTTGCACAGGTGTTGATGAAAGATCAGTTTGCAAACTATGTTGTGCAAAAAGTGTTGGAAACTTGTGATGATCACCAACTTGAACTTATCCTGGACCGGATAAAGGTTCACTTGAATGTTCTGAAGAAATATACTTATGGAAAGCATATAGTTGCGCGTGTAGAAAAACTTGTCGCCGCTGGAGGTACATATCTCTCCCACCCATTATGATTGACAAAAGAAATCTGCCCATGGAAATATTGTATTATATGATGTTTAAGAGTTCATTTTAAAATCATGAATTTGGTTGAAATTGTGTTTGATGCAGTTGCTAAATATGTAGAAAACTGCCACGTGTCCCATAAAAAGAGTCATGTTTGATCAAATAAATATAATATTATAAGAAAGTTGCGAAGATTGATTAACAGACAACTTTCATTTGATATATACAGGTTAATCATGAAAAATGTTTCTGAAATATATCATTTATGTGATCATGTTATAACGGTTGTATATGGCAAAAGCAGCTACCAAGTGAACTTGATTTGAATATGCTTACCCTTTTCTGCAGAGAGGCGGATAGAGTTTCTGTCATCATACCCGGCATCAGGTCAGATGGCATAGAAAGAAAACTGTACAGGTAAAAGAGGGCTTAGACAGAGTGTCCCTTTTCTCGTGTTCTTTATTACTCTGTATAATGTTCAGGCTTAGACAGTCCCATAGATCAGAGTGAATGTTACTAGGAATAACATCTGAGGTATGATTGTAACTTAAAAAACAACTGTAGATTTGTTAAAATATTCAGGATATACCTGTAACATAGAATGGCAGGCTGAGAGATAGTAAAACAGTCTATGGCCGGCCCCTGCAAGGAGAGCTTAAAGGTATATTTGTAAAAGTTGTAAGGGTGTAAACAAAAAGTAGGAAACCTGTAGGGGTCTGTGACAGAAATTGTTAGCTCCAGGCGTTTCCTGAGTATGGGTTTATATTTTACTTATGTAATAACTTATGTTTCATAAGGCAACCTTTTTTCTGATACCTTTTATGGAATATTATTGTTACATGGTATATCAGGGATATTATTGAATATTGATTTGATGTTCATGTGTGTAATCCTTGTACACGAATATTGCACACTGCTCATAATCTAATTTAAAGGGAAAAAACTACTGAACGAGTCCTACTGTTTTAGGATTGACCTTGCATACTTTAAAAACTTTAAAATTAATTGTGTAAAAAATGTGTAATCTTTTCATGCAGTTTTTTCTTGTCAAATCAGTAGTGAGTAAATTAACTTGTGTAAAGAACTGGCACACAATTTGCATTGTAATAAGAGTGAGCCGGGTTCTCTCTTTTGAGGTGTTCACTTTTTATTTATTTATTTATTTATTTATTTATTTATTAATTTATTAATTTATTAATTAATTTATTTATTTATTTATTTATTTATTTATTTATTTATTTATTTATTTATTTATTTATTTATTTATTTATTTATTTATTTATTTATTTATTTATTTATTTATTTATTTATTTATTTATTCTAACTTTATACTTGAATTAGAAAGTGTAAAAATGTGTGCCCCGTTTTGTATAACTGCCTTCTCTTTTTGGTTGTAAAACAGCATTGAGGAATGGCTGGGTTCAATTTTCCGAAATTTTGGACAATATGCATGTGATTTGCGTTTACCAATCAATGAATGTGGTTAATTATTGAAAAATTCCCAGCTTTATCTTTTGATCCTTTTCCACAAATGGAGCGTATACTTTAAGACACTATTATAAATGCACGTTTTTCCAAATTTGTATTTAAAATATAATCCAACCGTTAGTTTAGCGGGGTGTGCTGGTTGTAAATGTTTATTTTCAATGATGTATGGGAATATGGTTGGACTCGGGTCTGGGTCGGGCCTAGGCCCGGGTGGGCCAGCGGTTCAGGAATGGTGGACACAGGACCGGCCCGGGTAGCCACCGGTCTGAGTCGGGTTGGGCCTCTGGTTTGGGTATTTTTTTTGCTTCCGTAACCCCCCCTCCCAAACCCCTCCTAATTATCAACCCCAACCTGGGTAGAACCCAAAAAAATGAAAAAAAAAATCAATTAGGCCCGGACCCGGGCCTGACCCGGCCGGGCCGGTTCGCCAAATGTGAGACCTGAGCTCGGGTCGGGCCACCCGGCCCGTGGATCGGCCTGGCCCGCTACTGTGCGGGATCGGGACTGGCTAGGTTCTCGGGTCCGGGTCCGGGTCCGGTTCGGGCCTAGGCCCGGGGTAGGGCGAGTCCGGGCTTGGGTCTCAAATTTGGTGAATCGGCCCAGGCCAAATTGATTTTTTTACTTTTTTTTTTCATTTTTGGGGTTCCACCTGGGTTGGGCTTGATGGGTAGGATGGGTTTGGGGGGGTTTGGGAGGGTGGGGGATGGGGTTAGGAAAGCAAAAAAAAAAAATCCAAATCGAAGGCTCGGCCCGGCCCGGACTCGGACCGGACCCGATGGCTACCCGGGCTGGTCTCGGGTCCACCATTCCTGAACCGTTGGCCCGCTCGGGCCTAGACCTGACCTGGACCCGGCCTGGACCCGAGTCCACCCCTAGTCCGGTTTGGGTCTTGGACTCTTGGGTGGTACTGGGTTCGGGAGCTGGATGCCTAGTACTCGCCCAGGTAGGTTTCGGGACTGGTTGGGTTGGGCCTTATATATTACGAGTAGTTTTTTTTTTAAATTTTGTTTTTCTTATTTATTCCTACCCCACCCCAAACACTCCCAAAACACCCAGTCTAATCCGCTTGTCAGGTTGCCACCCAATCCATTTGAAACAAAATTGGCGCGGCCCGGTGTTGACCCAGCCGGGCCGGTTCCAAGAGAGCTTGAGCCCGTGACATGCCCCAAAGTTGACTAATTGACTATAAAAACTCAATTTTGCAAACTTTTTGGAACATACGGAGTACGGACTATATGAAAAATTGGCAGCAAATATACACGAATTTAAATTATGGACAAATATAGTATTAAAGTTACACATGCATAATTCCTGCTTATTATGGTTTAAATATGCATAATTCATGGTTACTTTTTTCTTTCGATCTTTCTTTTGGCTATATACACAATATTATTTCTGATTTTCTGATATTAAATTACCGATCTTTTTTAAGTAGCTCTCTAACTACACACCATTTCAAAGTGATCTAGGTTAAAAGATTATGCTACATAAACACACTAATTAGCGGTTTGAGGTTTTTATATGATTGTTATAAAATATGATAATAACATGATTATGTTAATAATATAAAAAAATTGTCCTAAATAGGAGTTATCATGTTTTATTCCCATTATAGGACTTATACGCTCCTCTCCTGACTTTTTACCGTTTGTGCAATGTTCGAAAAGTCCATATTTTCCTCTGTCGCTCAATCCTTCTCTTATTCCGAAAAGCTGGTTCTCATCACCGCCTTCTACATTTCTTCTCCAGGGATGTTCAAAATTCCCAATTACTTCCTCTGCTCATCTTCTAATCTCTATGTACCTCCATCTCAGTTTTCTTTATCGGAATTTTCACCAGCCTATCTCTTTTCCCATTTCTAATTGAATTGGAAACACCTCTGCATTCCCCCATCTTCGCTCTTCCAGTCTTCCTCTTCCGTTGAGAAGATTTATCTTCCAAATTAAAATGATGGTGATGACGCCAACTTCAATTTCAGAGTTCTTCTTCCTCCTCCTCCTCCTCAATGAAAAAACAAACATGGAAGAAGAAAACTTGGGAGGTGGAGGAGAAGGAGCTTACCTGGGCATGTAGGAGAGCTATCATCGTCGGCTACATTCTTCGCACCCATCGACGTTGCACAAATTAATCTCAGTTGTGAAGAATGTGAGGCAGTCAGGCAGCGCGTAAACCAGGGGTAATTTTGCGATTCCACCCTATTTTTAGTCCTATCGAGTTAAACGGAAAACTAATCATCCTACTTTTGCATTTGTGACATGTTTTAGTCCTATTTAGGTAAATCTCTCAACAATATATGATAATACCATACTCCTTTCCAAGTTTAGAGGTTTTTTCAATTGCCTTTTTTGAAAGTCACAGTTAAAGGTTTGTATTATTTTAAACATTTCTTAATATTTTTTTGAAAAGATAACATTACCTACATCAATAATATCTCAATTATTATTATCGATGAATCCGTTATATTATACACTTGTCAAACTTTTTCTTTGAATGTACTTGAATTATTGTCTGAATTACTATGTTAGTTCTCATTGAGAACCTTACACCGAGAAAGAAGTATCCAAGTAGTAGTAAGTTATTCATTTTTAGAGACGAACACCACACTTATATTTTACTACCTTGGTCCCTCTTAAATTGGGTCGGAAGAGAGTGACACGATTATTAAGAAAAGTGGGGTTGTGTGGTTGATACGTAGTATTAATTGATAAAGTAAGAATAAAGTAAGAATGATTTAGAACCACACAAACTTTACCAAATATGGTATGAGACAATTTTAGTGGGACTTCCCGAAAAGGTAAAATGGAACAATATAAGAGGGACGAAAGGAGTAATATTTTAGATCATTTGATTTTCATTTTAGGAATTTTCCCTTCTATCATCGACACACTCACTACTCAGGGGTGGAGATAGGGAGGGGTCGGAGGGGATCTTGGCCGTTGCAAGAAAAAATGCTTAAGTATATACTCCCTCCGGTCCTAAATAAACTTCATACTTTGACTTCACACAGATTAAGGAAAAAAATTTGACTTTACTGTAGAGTACACTGTTGTGACACTGTTTGACACTGTTTGGCACTGTTTTGCATTGTTTTGATGTAGATAATTTGCCAAATAATGAAGGGAGAAGAAGTGTGAAGTTAATTTTGGACCTACCTAAAATGGAAAGTGTGAAGTTTATTTAGGACCGGAGGGAGTTATATATAAATACTTTGAATCTAGAGAAAATATGTTCACCTTTTAAACTTTGGCACCTACTCCACAATGTAAAATTCCCAAACCTCAGTCCCCTTAATCATAAATTTCTGGTTCCGCCACTTCTCATGTGTCATATTATTATTAAGAGAGAATTCCTTAAATAGGAGTAAAAACGTTTTGAAATTCCAAAATAGGAGTATCATGTTTTTTATTCCTTGAATAGAAGTAATATTTTGCTAAGTTTGGCATTACTAGGCTTTAAAACATGACATTTTTTCCCAAAATTGGCAGATTAATCCTATTCAGGGAATAAAAAACATATACTCCTATTTTGGAATTTCAAAACGTTTTTGCTCTTATTTAGAGCAATTTCTTTATTATTAACACATAGAGTCAAACCTAGGAGTTAAAATGTATAAGGAGTATGAATTTTGAAGTTTGATATCGATTTTCTAAAAGTTTAATAACTATATATTCAATGAACTTTAAAGTTACATAAAATTCAATTTCATCGGGTTGATACCGGTTTGGGTGTATCCATCAATATCAATGTACCTTATGTACATGGAACTCTTCTCATCGATCTGGAATGACTGGAATTGCCGTTCGGCAGCGACGGACAAAGAGAAGCAAGTGAGGCCGCTGCCCTCCATTTTTACTAGGTATATTCCAAAATTTTAGTATATAGGGCATGCGTATTTGTATGTATTTTTTACACGATCACCCCTCCTTTGGGGAATTCTGCGTCCATCATTGTTGTGCTATTGGCTCCATTTTATTTTTGAGGTGTTTTTGGGTGGATTTTTCGATGAACTATGACCTTGATATTTGGCCCCTCCTTGCCTCCACTACTAGTGAATGTTCCCGGCTTCCCTTTAATGAAAAAATGATGTTTGTACCTACTCTTAGACCTACTTTTATATCCACACTTGTCTGTGAAGATTATTTTGTGTGCGGATTCCGTTCATAGATTGTACTGTGCAAAATTTGCACAGACAAAATAACACATATTTTGTCTTTGAACCGGATGATACATCAAATATACACACCCCTATGAAAGAAGCCTTAAAAAGTACTAAGACACAAAAGTACTTAAATATGATAAGATAATGATATGATAATGCAGCAATGCAATGTGCACGAGCAGCCTGCCGGCCGGATTAAATACACTTGTACGTGTTTGTCTCTTCCTTTTGGCATTCCAACTATGTGTTGAGTTCCAAACACTATAGGAATAGAGTAGTTATTAGTACAAAATGTACATATGCAAACTTTTGAGAACAAACAAACAAAACGTGGCCGGATAGGTGCAGAACCTTCCCGGAATGTGAACCCATTCTTGTTTTCTTTTTGCTCCTTCCCTGTCTGGGTTATTTCAAGTAACATGAATTCAGTCTTTTGTTTCTTTCCATGTTACAGTACAAAAAAAGCACCATATTTTTGACTCACAAAAATGGAAAAGAAAGGTTGCAGGCTTTGCATTATTTAGTAGTGTGACTTTGACGTGCAGAATTATTTGCCAGTCGTGGTCATGGTAGATTTTGAGTAAGGGAGGCCGTTTTTTACGTCACCACTTTCATATTTACCATTTGTTTTTAAAAAACTCATGCTCCCTCCGTCCCAATTTGATTTGTAAATTTTTTTATTTTGGTTGTCCCAAAATGGTTTTCCATTTTCTATTTTAGGTATGTAAATAAGAATAAAGTTACAAATTTACCTTTACATTTACTTTTTCACCATTAACCTAAAGACATCTACTTTTAGAAAGATGAACAAAAATGTAAAAAGCAAGCATCATTTATTGTCATTCCTTAATCCTTGTGCCGGTCAAAGTTTGCAATTCAATTCGGGACGGAGGGAGTAATAATTACGAGTACTTTTAGTAGCATATAACAACAATAATAATATAATACGGAGCAATATATAGATTTGAAAGCACCTATTCTTAATGTCACAGATTGACTTGACCCTCCTCTAGCTCCGCAAATTATAAGATACACCCGGGTGTACATGTAAACCCAGTATTTTTGTAACATATACCAACTTTAAGTTGGGATTCTCTTATCCTTAATCTATGAATTGCGGATCATCTTTCTCGCTCAATCATCCGCATAGAATCGCCAGAGCTGGTAGCGGAGATGGCTTTGCAACTGCTCTGAGCTCTGGATAACTCGATTTTCTCTGCTATGGCAAACAACAGAGCTCTGGATAACTTGATTTCGTCTGCTACACCACACATCGAAGCTCCAAAAATGCCTCTTCTTCTCTTGCTAAAAATATCCTTCTCAATTGTTGTGTTCTTCAGACCTTAAAACTTTCTCATTTTCCCTTTTTAACTCACAACTTTTATGATCCAATTAATTGAATATTCTGCTTTATATATTAATACTGAGCACATTAGAAATGAGCTTTATTTTAAACCCAATTGAGTAAAATGCCTAAAAAGAACGAACATACACAAATGAACTTTTGAATTTTTGGATACTCATTTTGTAAGTTATGTATGTTCATTTAGTACCTCTACTATGCTCATTTTAAAATGTTATTAATGCATATTTCAAAAGTCTCGTAATACATTAGATTCACATAGGAGTTGATTATATACACGAGACTACAAATCATGATACTCAATCGCATATTCTAATACTTCGTACTTAATAATAACGGAGGTTTAATGCTCACTGAAAATGTATTGATGCTCAACAAACAAAACTCATAATTTTCATATCAATGCTCATCTTGTAAGTTGCATATGCTCCTTTGTATGTCTGATGCTCATGAATGCTTATTTCACAGAAACCGTGATTTTCATCTCAATAGAAGATGTTTGATACTTAATGAAAATGTCGTTATGTTAACCTAACAAATTTTACGATTTTCATATCAATGAGCATTTTGTAAGATACATATGCTCATATGGTACTGATGTTATTCTCATTTTAAAATGTCATATCAATCCATATTTCAAAAGTATCATATATTACATTAAATTCGTATATTGAAATTCATAGGAGTGTATTAGATATAATTTAATAAGTTTTTATTAAAGGAAAAAATTGAATTAGAAGATATGAAGCATAGACTGTGATGTTCATTGTTAGCCTCCTAATACTCAATAGAATATGTCAGATGCTCACTAAAAGTACACTAATGATCATTCAGCAAAAGAAGTGATTTTTTGCTTAAATTACAAAAATGACACCGAAAAATTAAACAATACTATTAGTTAATCGGCTTTCTTTCTTAATTGGTACGGGTCTATATACACCTGGGGTAGCATTGTAGCACACCTTCCCCAAATCCATCCCTGTCGTGGCTATATGGTAAAATAGACGTGATCTGCCATGAAGATATTATAAGGGGAAATGTCCAATTAATATGAGCCAATGCCTATTTTTTTATCCAAAGGGATAACTGACTACACATCTTTTTTATTTTTTGCTAAGAGGCCTATTTACATTCTTTAGACATGTTTGCCTTTCCTATTTACTCCGAACTGGTGTAGAAACATAGGTTTTTTTTAAAATCTAAGTCCTCATCTCTTAATTATCAAGATCTAGTTAGAGGCATCTTATAAGATCTTGTCCCAATCTCAAATTTCAATCTTATTTATTTTTTCTGTTAAAATAATTCGTGCAAAAGATTCACAAAAATCTTTTTACGACCCAACGGCACCAATATATCCAGATTCGAAACTTAAATTAAATCAAAAGAGAGTAACATAAATCCAGGGTGTATCAGATAAATCAAAGTACGTTAATCACATAAATATCCAAACAGGAAATTAAACCCCAGAAAGCAAATACGTTAATTCTTCTTCACTTCTTCAATTCTGGGGGCAGAATGTAACCACATAACGCGGTGCTTTGCAGTTCTTCAGCCCAGAAGATTCATCATAAGCATAGCTATAAGCACGCGGACAAACATTCTTGAACAGATTCGAGAAAACCGACGGTTTACACACATTCTTGTCTGCAAATTCCTCTGTACAGCAATACTTAGGATTCTTAGTAGCTAAACACGCGCTCTTGCACCCCACCACCTTCCCATGCAACACCACAGACATGTTCTTCGGGCACAAAACGTTCAGATCCATCTCACACGCCGCCACGCCGCAGCCGCTGCCTCCGCCCACCGGGATCATGGAGACGGGGACGTTGAACCCGTCGACCAAACTAACGTCATAGTAGTGCTTCTCGTTCGTTGAGGTCCCCATCGTCATCTCCACGAGGGTCGCCGGTGGCGTTCCACCCGTTCCAGCGCAATGGAGCATGCCAGCGCAGTCTCCTGTCTGGCACGAGCCTTGGCCGTTCCTGTCAAAGGAACAGCCGTGTCTGGGCCATAATCTCCCCGACCATCTTTCGGGGAGATTAATGACGGTCTGATGACCGACGGGGAGGTGGAAACCGCCTTTTTCCAGCGTCTCGTGCCCGGCGTTTCCGAGAATTCCGGGCCATATGCTCTGTTTGCAGTTGTTCACAACTAGAAGTTGGGTTCCATCAGCGGTGCAACTGGAGATGAAGCATATGATCAAAAGAGAAAGGATTAGAAGAGTTTGCATGGTTTAATCTGATGTCTTTGTTGTACTCTCGACGTCATTACGCTAATTACTTATAAGTGTCAAATAACTAATAAGGGAGGCTAATTAGGTTCTTGATTTGGGAAACAGTTTCATCGTGCTCCACTTTTCCAGGACACACTTTCAAACGTAACTGTGTATTATCAATTGTGGAGGGTAGCTTTGGAAAGTGGATATTAGGGTCATGCATCATGCATTGGAAGTGATAATATACTTTCACCTCTCTTTAAAAAATATATTCCCAGTTCATTTTTTTGTAAATGTAAAGCAGTTGGAATGTAAAAATGTACTCCCTCCGTACCGCAATGAACTTCTCACTTTCCTTTTTTGAATATCCCAGAAACAAGTTCTCATTTCCTTAAATGACATGTTAATCTACATCAAAACAGTGTCAAACATTGCAAAACAGTGCCAAACAGTGTCAAAACAGTGTCAAACAGTGTCGAAACAGTGTCAAAACAGTAAACTTTACCCCATGGTAAGTTTATTTTCTTAATATGTGTGTAGGTCAAACTGTGAAATTCATTGTGGGACAGAGGGAGTAGTTTTTTTTGGATATTAGGGTATATTGATGCATTAGGGAGAAATTAATAACAAATTGGCGAACACAAAATTCACACTTGACACACATTTGTATGTAAGTGTTTGTGCACACAAACAATTGTTTCAAAAGATGCATGTGTACACAGACAATTAGGAGGTGTGCATATTATCTGTGTACATAAATAATTAGTACAAATGTGTGTCAAACGTATGTATACAAATTTCGTGTACAAATAGAAATTTTCAACGGATAATGCACAGAAAATTCAATAGTGAAGTAAGGAGAATATGAAATATGGAGTACTAGCATGTTTTATTTCTTCAACTAAATGAAGTAATGCTTTCAAAAAAACTAAATGAAGTAATCAATAATTTTTCGTTCTTGGGCTAAAAGTAATGTGATCGATCAATTGACTCAGCCTAATTAATTATTTAACTAAAAGAAAATTGCTCTAAATAGAATTGACATTTAGATAAAGTGTGCAAAAAAAACTACTTACTTTGTATATTTTATTCCCTCAAATAGTATTTATTTGATCTTATTAAAAGTATAAAATGGAATAACGAAATTCCATTTTAGGGAAAAAAAGAATGGTGATACTAATCATGCAATTTACCTGGATTTTAGTCCTATGTAAGGGATTTTCTCTTAACTAAATCATACTCATTAATTTAACTATTGATCCTTAAGTCTCATCACAGTAATTGAATCACAATCTCAAATAGCTAGGGCTCCACCACATCATTTTGTGTACATTGTTGTTGCAATGCTAAACACAAAGTCCACACACAGAGAAAGGGTGCGGTTCACATGAAAATGTTGTTGCACTTTTTTTTTAACTTTGGCCAAAACATGCCAAGTTCAAATAAGTGCACCGGCAGTTTCATTAATATTCTTCAAATGTGAAAATGTGTAAGGTACAAACCTTATATTGCACCACGTTGAACATTATTCTTATTTGATCTTAAATATATATTTACAAGAAATGCTCTTAGGAGAGAATTAAGAATAAATCTGAACCGTTAGATTATAATATGTGAAATTAAAAGTGCATTAGGTAAATATGAAATGTACATTAGGTGAAATTGAAATATGCATTAGGTGAATTGGAATATGCAACACAAAGGGTACGACATAGTGACATTATGTGAAGCTGAGTTATGCATTGGGTGAATCTGAAATGTGCATTAGGTGAAACTGAAATGTGCATTAGGTGAAACTGAAATGTGCACAACAAGAGGTACAATGCAGTGACATTTTTGTACCTTTATTCTGCATTAGGTGAAACAGAAATGTACATTTTGTACATTTCAATTCCACTTAATGTACATTTGAGTTTTACCCTTTATTATATATATTTCAATTTCACCTTATGCACATTTAAGTTTCACCAATTACACAATTCAATTTCACATAATACAATCCAGACCAATGGTTCAGATTCATTATTATTTCTCTCATCCGAGTACTTTCTCATTGGAACCGCTCCCAAAGTCATGAGGAAACAGAAAGAAAAGTAGCTAAAGGGGAAAATAAAGAAACTAACTTACACACAAAAGCAAAACACACCCAGAGTACGACAAGAATCCCTCCCTAAGGTCCCTAAGAGCTTAATCAAGTCTTCGATCTTCACACGTGATTGGGATCTAACTAGTCTACATGCGATAAGACCGTTCACGCTTTTTCTCGTAAAGTTTTATTTGTGTTCAAACTCTATGTTGGTAAGCAATTTTCCACTCCGATCAATCAAGCTTTGTAGTAAATATTCTGATTTGTGTTAGACCCCATAGACCCTCCTTTGATGATATAGAAGCTCTTTTCTCGCTCTCTGAAGCAAGACTCAAAAACATCTCCTGAGTATATATGTAGAAATTTTTCTGCAAACACTACTATATATATTGATGGTTCAGTTAATTCACAAAATCAATAAAGAACGTACTATTTTCTCATTATTAACCTTTAAAAGTAGACCCAATAATGATTGTTATCATGAACCGTAAATTAATACGATGTAGCAAAATAGTAAATATATCTAGGTTTTACTAAGAGGTCTTTCTAATAGACGTGTTCCTGCACGGTGATTTGAGATTTTTCAAGTAACCATGAGCGTTACGAGCTGCAATTATAAAGGTTTGGGAAATCTAGATATGGTACAAGTGTCATTAGACATTCTACGAGAGCATTGGTGGTTCATCATCTTTCTTATGGAGACGAAGGTTCATAGTTTAAGGGCATAAAAAATTCCAGGCTGGATTTTAGATGTAGCTTTCGTATCGACTGTGAGGGTAAGAGTTGTGGACTGATTTTGGGATGAAATGATGACATGAAAGTTGGGATTAGAGCTTCACAATATACATTTATTGACTGCAAGGTTAGCTCATTAATGGGAGGGTTGCCATGGAGGATGACGAGCAGTCGAAGAAGGGAAGCCTGCAGGGATCTCCTGAAATATTTAACGGGAAGAATATAACTACCATGGGTGGTAGTTGGTGATTTTAATGATCTAATATATATCGAGGAAAAGAGGGCACATATTCCTCATCCATACTGGAAGCTAATATGGTTTTGGGATGCCATTAAGGAGGGTGGACTCCATAATTTTTCTTTCAAGGGTTACCCGTGGACATGGGAGCGTGGCAGAGGAATGGGATCTTGGGTTGAGGAAAAGCTTGATAGAGATCATCTAGTAAATCATGATTAGTGGAACTTCTTTAATGCATCTCATACTAAGTCGGTAGAAGCCCCAACTAGTGACCATATAGGTATAAGCATTAGACTCCAGAATTCTGAGGCTACCCCTAGAAGGAAGACCTTTAAGTTTGAAAGGCACATGTGAAGTTAATTGGTATGAGAATAATCAGTACAATTGGCTGATTGGTAGTGTTGTACCAGTTTTTTTGCTTTGTGTACTGTAATGTGTTGATAAGCCAAATGTGTAAAGTCTAGAATCTTCAGTGTAGTTGCTTAGGTAACGTCAGCCCCTGGCAGCTGTCACATTGGTGATGTAATCTTAACTACTTGTGATATCCCAGTGTTGAAATGTCTAAGTCCAAAATCCAAGTACGAGGTCGTGAGCTCGATAGTATAGGTCAAACTCTGACATGGCATGTCTAGCTAAGAGAGAAATAACCTGTGCTCATAATGTAAAGCAATGATGCTTTTGTTGATCTTTGAGGCTCATAATATGGTAGTTGGCCTAGAGCTCGGCCACAACAATGGAGTTGTCGCAGTCTCGCAGACCTCGGTGAAGGTCGACCTCGGCCTCAACTACAGTTTTGGACTTATCTCGACCTTGGCCGGAGTTGGCTTAAAGGATTATAGAGATCCTTTATCATAAACGTTGATACCCTTGGGGCATATGGAAATATACTGCATCATGAATCCCCCACTCTCTGAAGCGAGGGTCATACTTTAGATTGGCCAGTAACTTCTTTTCTATTTTAGTCTTCTAATATGTGTTGATTTTCAGAATGTCTCATATTTGGGAAAAGGTGGCCCTAGTAGTAAGAATACAATATCTACGACCACATCTCCTACACCACCACAAGATTAAGCACAACTTATGCAATCAAAGTTATCAATGGCTCCTCGAAATCCCCCACCCTCTCGAAAAAGAAAAGCACAAACGATGCCAATCCAAAATAACTAAAAGCTTTAGGTACATGAGAGACCTTCCTTAGAAAGATACTGGGTTTGGGAGCATTTCATGAAATGCACTGTCTTAGAAATGCAAGAAGTAGAAAAAAAAAACGGAATGACATAGATGGCAGAGATGGAAGTACAGAAAGCTATGTATGATCATTGTAATTATTTTTTTCTTGTGATAGTACACAGACGGTGGAACTAGTACTTACATTAAACAAATACTAAAACATTGTAAGTCATATTTGAAAACCGATGACATGCAAAAGGTTTTGGAAGTTCTTGACCTTTGGGAGAGGTTAAAAACACACTTGTTGCTAAGGGGTGGAGCCAAGAAGAAGCAGTAGAGGGCATTGTTGCGTATATTGTTATTGATGAGGTACCCTTTAATTGTGTTGAGACTAAAAGACTTAAGCGAATGATATGTAAAGTCCATCCCACATCGGTTGTCATATTGAGAAGAACTATGGCGAGAAATTTATTCAATATGTTTGAATGTTTGATACCATGAAAGTTCAGTTAAAAAGAAAAATATGTAAGCATAGAGCTGAGTGAGCTCAAGTAGTGACACATGAAGAAGTGTGTAAAATCCGAACTACATGGTCTTAACTGCTCATTTTGTGGATGATGATTGGAATATGCACAAAGAGATTCTAAACTGTTGTTTGATTTAAAGCCATGGAAACAAATTGAGGAGTGCTTGATTGAATGGGAAATTGAAAATGTGATGTGCATCTGAGTTACCAATGCATCCGCCAACAAAGTGGCAATTGATTATGTTGTTTAAAAAATGAAGAAATGGCTGAATATCAAAATGATAATGATGGCAAGTTTATGCATGTGA